TGAGCCGCACCCAGTCCATAGTCTGCATTTTGCCCACTCCTGCCCTGCATGTTGCCAGTGCAGGTAGAGGAGGGTCATCGCTGGGGCAGCATGGGGCAAGCAGCAGTGGGCAAGGAGATCCCTGCGTGGCTTCTCTGCTGAGTTGTCTGGGAGGGAAGCAGGGAACAGCGGTGAGCAGGCCTGTTGTTCCCTGTCACCACGGGTAGGGCAGCTCCCCACCACCGTGCGTACCTCTGGCAGGGCTGGGGGCCACCTCTGGCTGGGGGTGGGGAAGGAGAGGCATGAGCAGGGCCAGGGGGTTGGCGGGCTGATGTGCGGCTACAGAAAACGGTGGTCACTCAGAACTGTATACTGTGGTGGCTAGAATGGTATACAGAATATTAATCGTGAGTTCTCAAAACCGTGATTGGGAAAGCTGTGGTTGGTGAGGGAAACCTGTACATAATAAGTTCCTCGGAGCATTTAAGAATTATGATTTTAGTTCTGCTCTTGCTTACACTAGTGTCATTTCTTTGGCTACAGAAGTGTTGTTTCTGATTTTATATCATTGTAAAATCACTCATAGAAACAACTACTGTAGTCTGTCAGTGCTCCTCAAAACCGATCCAGTTGCAATAATGTTGGAAGTATCGGTTATATACCTCTTAACGTGCCTTTTTAATTCGAGAGCCTTTAAGGATAAACAAATTTTGTGCCAGACTTCTAGTACGGTGGGGTCTCAATCATGTGAGCTACAGCTAATTAAAATCATTATGTCCAAAATCTAGAAAAACTTCACCTGTGTGTAAATGTTGATGGACAATTCTTATGGGCAATTTACACCCATTAAGACCATTTTGCCAGGGTATAAAGGAGTGTGTATGTTAACCAGACTTGGGTGACAGATAAATTTAAAAAAAATACTGTTGCACCACTTCCAACTTGTTTAAGCTTCTGGCAAGTGGTTTGTTGCCGGCTTGATCTATACCTTTTGAAAACAATAACACATTTTATTCTTCAATACTGATTGTGAATATTCAAAGTTATTCTGTACCTGAGGTGCTTCAGAGTAAAGAAATTACGCTGTAAACAGAGCAGCCTAACAATACTCAAGATAACTGCTTTAAAAAAACACCCCTGTGGCTGTCCAGGCCCCAAATAACGGACTGTCTGGTCTGTACTACGGTACTTCTGACAGGATATGCACAGTCTAATTACATTTCTACATTTGGAAAGAGGCACCTCAAACCATCATTACTGCAGATTGGCACTACAAAATAAGCCATTATTTTAGGAGTTGTATAAGAGCTTTACAGACTCTTATGTTTTCTTTGTGCGTAATTGCTTTGGACAAAGATGAACAAAAGAAATAAAATATCCAGTATAGGCCAAATGTATGGAGAGTATAAATGGGCATAACTATAAAAGTCAGGGGAGTTGTGCTGATTTTTACCAGCTTAATATTTCTTTGACAATATAGTCATATTTTTGTATGGAAATTTTAGTCTATGGATTGCAAACTTGCATGTTGTAACATGCCATTTCTCAGAGCCCCTCGATATCCTCAGAATAAATATTGTTTTGTTACTGTATTTGCTGAGTTTCTCCTGTAAATAGAAACAAATCTTTTTATAGTGTTTTTGTTTATGCTTTGGACAATCAGATTCATAATTGTCTTCTGGAAGTATCAGTGGTTGAAATGCTAGCATAGAGTGACACCATCTTAATGACACCACTGGCTGGGGAATTGGCTCTGCGGTAGGACCCAGAGGG